AGGCATGTCTCCGTGCGTGGTGGCACTCAGGACGTTGAGGCAGGAGGATCAAGGCCAGCCTGGGTTATAAAGTGAGTTGAAGGCCAGCCTGAACTGCATAGTGAGACTCTGTCTCAAAAAGAAAAAAGAAAGGAAAAGTCCTGTGGTGTAGAATCATTTATCTGAAGTTCAGAAATTCCTAGTCTCAAATGAAACACTAACTGATACTTCTCACTTGTTTTGTAAAATGTTTTTCTTTGATATAATGACTGATATCTCCCAACACAATGTCATAACAGAAATCGGCTACCTTTGCCTTTTTCTCAACCGGCTGTGACCAGCCCTTGACCCCAGTGCAACAGGAGTGACAGGGAGGGTGGCTTTTGGGAGGGACTCCTTCCCATGGTGCTCCAGGGAAGTTTTTTCCTCATGCGCTGTCTTGCTCTATTTAAAACCTTAGGGGCTTAGCTGCTATCACCTCCTACCTATTTCCTTGGCTCAAATTTAGCTCTCAGCTCTTTAAATAGAGTACTGATTGGGACTGAAAGGAAGCCAGAAGAAACAGCTGGTTGGCCACAGGGTCCTGGTTGGGAGGTAGTGACCCTGGCTGTACAGCCTGAACTGGTCATTCTTAGAGTGAGTGGGTATCAACCCCAAGGGCCACTTTAATCCGGGGTGTGGCTCAGGCTCCAGGAAGGACAGTGCATGACCCCTGGAAGGACCAGCGCTGCAATGGGAGGCCTGAGATTAGACACTCTACAAGGACTTGCAGAATTCTCAAGTTAATGTTTCCACATAGAGTTATTGCTTTAGCTTGCTAGAAAACTGCTCAGATACAAAGACACCACCTTAGAAAAAGCAAAGCTAGCTTTCTATTTACAATGAATTTTATGATATCAAGGAAGAGATGTCTCTGACTTTTAGTTTCTGTAATTAGGTGTTTCATGAGAGAAAATAAAGGCTGAACTATGTGTTATTGGCTGGGGGACGTGGAGGGAAGGGTAGTGATGAGCCTTGAGGAAGAAGCAGCCGCAGTTTGGGTCCTGTTGAGGTGTCAGCAGAGAGGGAGTGGAGTGTTGATCGTTGGTGAGTTGAGGGCTTCGACACAAGGTGCTCTCGCTTGCATGCTTACTGCTTGTCTTAGTTGCTTTCTTGTTTCTGGGATATAACACCTGACAACTGCAAATTAAAGGAGAGGGGCCTGGGGGAAGAACAGCTGCTCCTGTCATGGCGGAGGGGAAACATACTCAGGGAGGAGCCAGGAGGAAGATAACCCTTCCAGGGCATGCCCCTAGTGACCAGCTCTGAGCAGATCCCACCTGTGCCAGCAAGTTAGCTATAGACCCTGTAATCCAATCACCTTCCCAAAGCCTCACCTTTGTGCTCAGAGGCTTTGGGGAGGCATCCAGATATGAACCCTGACACTGCCTTTGTAGGCAGTGACACTCCTATCATCACTGGTGAGTTGACTTCCCTCTGTCCTATGAGTATGACAGGGACAATTATGAGAGGATAACCTCTCAGACACACCAGGACTTACTATCCACTGTGGATGAACTTCATATATCTAACATTTTGATTAAGGAAGACAAAGTTCCAGAATTTCTGTAAGGCTGATTGCAATTGATGTCTTGATTAATTTCAAAATTCAGCAGGGAGAAAGGTACATTTTTTTTTTTTGCTTCTAAGCTATTTTAGGCATATCCAAGCAATGCTATATATTTTTAACCCACTGGGTATTGAGAAGAACTCTCAGTGGAAATTGTTACCCCCGCCTTGTATGTCATCCTATGATGTTCTTTCATTTTCTATTTGAAGGTATTCTATAAGGAAAGGGCTGTTACACATTTGCTTGTGTTTAATTAATGTCCAGTTTATTTGAATTATAGATCAGAAAGATTTGCTTTTCTTATGTCTATAATTTATGGTCACAATTCTTATTAATAAGTCTTATAAAAACTAAGGCAGATTGCTTTTTAAAAATCAACATTCCAGGCCAGATATGGTGGTGCATACCTATAATCCCAGCACTTGGGAGGCTGAGGCAGAAGGATCATTGCAAATTTGAGACCCTTCTGGGCTATCAAAGTGAGCTCAAGTTCAGCCTGAACTGCATAGTGAGACTATGTCTCAAAAAAAAAAAAAATCAATGTTCCATTAGTTTATAAATTCAACACATTAAATTCCTCTAAATAAAACTAGAGTGAGTGTCATTTAATATTTTAAACTATGTTTTCAAGCTTAATACTATACCATGGAACCTAAATGCCAAAAATTACAGGATACACTATTATTTTTTGTACTATTAGAAAAGAAACACACTGTTAATTTTAGCTTATTACATTATTGTAAGACCCTCTAGATGAAGGTTGTAGATTTGTTAAAAGAAAAAAGTCCCACTGGAATTGATAAAAATATTGTATACTTATTATCTGAAATAGTATAAATGTAGGCACTAAGCATATGAACGGCTCTTATAAATCTAAGCACATGTAAGTTAATATACAGACTTCTTTTGTTGTTGCTAGCTTTGGTGTTTTGAGATGTGGTCTTGCTCTGTATACAGTTCAGGCTGGCCTTGAACTCCCTGTGTAGCTCAGGTTGGCCTTCAGCATCCAAGAGGCCGAAGCCAGAAAATCTTACTTATTTAATGGTCTACTGTCTTAGTTACACTTTTCCTTGCAGAAACAAAATACCTGATGCCCAAAGTTAAGGGAGGAAAGGCTTATTTAACTCACAGTGTGTAGAGGTTTCATGCCATGATCAGCTGGCTCCAGGGCAGGGTGGCTTAGTGGAGGAAAATGGTTGATGGCAGGTTGAAGACAGCAAAATCAACAACTGATTTTAAGAGCATCTGTCTGGCCTTTTATACCCTAATCTAGACTGTGTAGGGGAATACTGAGCCACTGGACTGATCACACACCCTTAATCCCAGCACAACACACGTTGGGTACAGCCACCTGTGAAAAAAACTCTGTGATCATGTGAGGCTCTGAGGGGACACCTAGATACAAACTGTGACACCCTTCACATTGGGTTCAAGGCCAGCCTGGGCTACATGAGACCTTCTCTTTAGCAACAATAACAACCACTACCACCACCACCCATTATGTTAACAGAAATATTTCATGAAAAAGCCTTATTATTACAAGGCAAAAAAATTTGCTAAAAATTAACGATAACAGTGGCATTGTCTCATGCTTTTGCAAATGCTTTCAATGTGTTCCTTAATTAAAGAGAGTTGGAGTCTCAGATGTGCTTCTGCACTCACGCTGTAGTGATACCCCAAGTTATGTGGCCTCTAGAAAATTCTGCTGCATCCTAGCAGGACAATGAGAAGAAAAGACCAATGATTTCTTAGTATTATGAAGAGAGTTTGACCTCATGCATCTCCTTGTTCTGAATCACGCTCTGAAATAGCGGAGTTGGATCTGGGATGCTCCATACTAGGATAATTGTACTCAGGCCACACATTAACACACTGGATTTCTCTGCTGGATCAGTGGGGATGAGTCCTTGTCTCCATCGCATCTCCCAGACATTTCTAATGTTTCATCCGTACTCAGTTAAAACATTTTATCTTCTGATCTAAAGATAGAAATCTGTTTTGGTTTTTTTTTCCACTATGGGGCTATAAACCCAGGGCTGCCTCACACTAAACCATCTCTCCAGTCCTTTTAATTTTTTTTTTTTTCTTTTGAGATAGGGTCTAGTAATCCTCTTGCTTCAGCATCCTGTATAGATGAGATTATAGACAGATGCCACTATGCCTGGTTGGAAATCTTTTCCCGAATGATTAAAACTCACTGCATTCTGCACTTTGTCATCTAGGCTGTCATATCACTCTACTTATTTTTATCTTTTTGTTGTTATTGTTCTAGATCACAAGTCTGTAGTCAGTTTTTTGCTAGGACCTGAAGTCCTGTCCCCTTGCATGTCATAGCCAAGCATTCGGACATTGCTACCTCGTCTGTGTTCAGCGGTGTCTGGAAGGCCATTTATTAGAAATGCGGAAGTAACTCCTTCGCCAAGCAGGAGCTGGACTCCACCACTGGTCACAAGCCCTCTTTTCAGTCTAACAGCCTATGCTCCTTTCAACCTTGGAAAACCTCCAGCCTCTCTGAGGATCCATTGAAGAGCAGGCTCTGGTCCCTCCCCCCCATATTCAGTCTCTCTTATCCCCTTTGTGATAAAGACCCAAATGTGCTTAGATCATTACTGTGTACAGTTAAAAAGACAGAATTCCCTGGATCTCCTTGCAACATGGGGCACCTCGTGAACTAATTCTGGTTCATGAAATGTAAGCAAAAGTCTACATGTGGGAGTTCTGGAAAAGTGCTTGTTGCCCTTATTAAAGAAAAAAAGTGTTATTTACAAGGTTACATTTCCCTGCTTAGAATATAGATGTGATGTCTGGAGATGGGCAGCTCTCTTATGATCTTGAAGACGAAAGTCCAAGATCAGGAAATGACAGGAGCTTCCTTTTGGACTTCTCATTACACGAGGAAAGAAATCTTTCTTTTAAAAATTCCTGATGTGACTTAGTACAACAATTTTAAAATTAGTGGGTTTCAACCTGCTTTTGAAAAGTACTTGCGACTTGAATACAGCTTTTACTCAGAAGGCAGGATGTCCTACGTCACTCTTGGCTAACTTTAGGCACCTTTCTCAGTGTATCTCTGTCGTTTTTCTTTATCGCTAAGATGGAGATGTCATGAGAAGAATTGATTCCTGTCAAAGAGGAATATACGAACTGCTAATCCTCAGTGGTTGTGCACAACGAAGTTCATCTTCTGCTTGCAGGAAGTCTGATAAAAGTTGGTGACTTTCATGATTCCTGTCCTAGAAATCCAGAGCTTCTGAAGCAGGAGACAAATGGGAATCCCAACAAGTTACCACCTGGACGTGGAGCAGGAGAAAAGGGCGACTTTGTTTGCAAACTACTCTGGGAGAGACTTGAGTCTTTTTGAGAGCCGTGAACCAAGCTTTGTTTCCCTTTTTATGTTGTTTCTTTTCTGCAGGGCAGTTTTCATTGGAAGTCAGCGTGCAGCGAGGCCTCAGAAGCAGAGCAGCCCTTGAGGGGTGAACAGTGATCTAGGAGTGGGAAGTTTTGGCGGGACTTTCCCAGCCCGGCTGACACTATGTTACAGCTGCACCTGTGCACCAACCCCGAGGTTACAGCTGCCAGTTTCCTCAGGGAGCTGTGCTATACAGTTAACCCACAGCTGCCCAGTTTCACCCCCAAAGTGGTCTCCTCTCGCACCTTGATCTCAACATGTGGCTTCCAAGGCCATCATGGCAGAGGAAGAGAGCTGCGGGGAGCCTTGCCCCGGAAGTGCCATTTCTCCTCCCAGACTATTGGCCAGAACATGTCACATGACTGCCTGATTCAAGGTATGTTGGGAATATCCATATTGGAAACACAGATGCCTTAACAGGACCAAATCTTCGCTGTTTTCTTTAGTTAAGTAAATGTTCCAGTGTAGGTCCTGTTCTTTTTTTTTTTGTCTTTTCCCTTTTTATCGGTACCGGGGATCGAACTCACAACTGCCTCCTTGCAAGGCAGGCCCTTATGCCGCTGAGCTAAATCCCCAGCCCGTAGGTTCTGTTCTTGTATTAGTTCCTAACAGTCCATTTAGCTAATGAACTCATCTGTGGATTAATCCACTTGATGGCATTGGAGCCCTCATGAGCTAATGATTTCTTAAAATCCACCACCTGGGAGCCAAGCTTTTAATGCCATGAGCTTTTCTAAATTTTTACAAATTTTTATTAGTTAGTGTTTGTAGTACATAATCTCACAAGTCTTTGGAGAACATTTTGGATCCCAAACATTATGAATCTTGATAGTTGAAATTACATTGATTTCTTATATTATTTCATTTTTTTGTGGTACGGAGGATTGAACTCAGGGCCTTGTGCATGCTATGCAAACAACACTCTACCACTGAACTATACGCCCAGCCCTCTAATATTTGATTATACCCTGTAGTAACTATCTTTTTGTTTGTCATTTTCAAACCTCAAAACAAGTAGACACCATATCTATCTTTTTTTTTAAAATTATTTTTTATTTTTTATTTTTTACCATGTCTGGCTAATTCACAGCTGTATTCCTGGTGCTCAGCTGTGCCTGGCATATAATGTTTTTGTGAAATGTTGATTTTCTGGGATACTTGTTCAATCAATTAACACATCCATAATCTGCATTGCTTTGATCTATAGTAAGGAAGAAAATTTTACAAAGGAGTAATAAGCAAACACTTTTAAAGCCAGAAAATGAAGGTGACTACATTAATATAATTAGTAATCTATATATTAGTAATTAATATAATTAGTAATGCTAGGGTGATGATGGTGGACTTGATTAGCCACTGTATTTCTTTTCTTTTTAGGAATTCAACACCTATTATCCCTGATTGCTCACAAAATATTTACACATTCTCCTCAGTGGAAACAATTGTTATGCTAGAAAAGCTGTAATGATTTTTAACTCTTTAAATTATTTACTTTATGTTACTAAATGCTTTGTAGATTTTCATATTTCTTTTTTAAAATCCCTTTGAGTATTACCAAAGGATCTCAGTGAAGTTTTATCTTTTTTTTTTCTTGGTGCCAGAGATTGGACTCAATGATCTCATTCTTGCCAGGCAAGCACTGTGCTGCTGAGCTATATCCCTGTCTGATGGTAAGATTTTATTTATTTATTTATTTAATTTTATTTAAAAGGAAAAAGAGAAAAACACAAAACAAAACAAAGCACTGTAAGAGTACAAGTAATACAGAACTACGAAAAAAAAAAGTAAGAAATCACCAGTTAATAGATTAGATATTATCATCTTAGAGATAGTTGCTCAAATCACAGTATTAAAGCATACCAAGTGGACATTCAAACAGTGAGACTGCAAACAGTTGTGTTCAATGATTGTTGGTGAGATTTTAAAATTTCATTTATTTAATTCTTTTTGTGTGCATGTTTAGTGCTAATAGTTATCTATCCCAATGCCTTGGACATCCTAGGCAAATGCTTTATTCCTGAGCTATACCCCTAGCATAAGTGTTTATCTTTTACAATATTTTCATTAAATAGTATTGATTCTGCAGTGTCCATAGTCCTTCTTTTAATGTTTTACGTTATTACCATATTAGAGCCAACACATGTGGGGTAAAATAGCTGATTATTTATGATTCAAATCCATCTACTCTAATTTCAATCCATCCCTCATTTCTCTATACATCTCTTCAGATATTAAAAGAACCACGTTTCCTATAATCAAATATTTTATCTCTGATGTCCAAAAATCCTTTTACATTTTTATCTCTGTTCCTTAGAAAAGAGTAAAGAACGAGTCTGGTGTCTTCATGTGTGAAAAACGATTTCCTCCTACAGAATGTGCAGGGAAGATAATGGTTTTCAAACTCACAGCTACATAACCGCATCAGAGACTTAGTGTCCGGGTTGTTTGATACAAGCAGAGTGATAAAGGTAGCTTTCCTGAGTTATGCAGCAGAAAAGATAATGTGGGCCTTAATTGTACTGGGCATGAACTCCAGACCAATTTGTAAAACTTGGGTATAAGTCATTCAAAGCCTGGCTGACCGTTTCTGAAAAGCCCCCTTTAATGTCTCCATCAGGTGCTTTAACTCCTTTGGAGCCCACATGATTTAGAGCGCATGTCACCTCCGTGCTTATCTGAGGCTTCCACCGATACCAACACTCCAGCACTGGTGTCAGCCTGACCAGTGTGTGCAGATACCTCCCTTCCTTCCAGATGGCCTTCCTTGAGGGCCAGCTGGCCCACAGCCAGCATCTCGTGGTCACCACTGGAAACACTGCAGGGTCCAGGAGCAGGCTGTTCTCTATTGTTCACATTTTTGTGTTCCAATTCATATTCCCTTAAGGACCATATGTCTTTTTGCCTGTCTGCGAGTTTCGCCCTCCTTTCCATTCCCTGAAAGACTCAATAGTACTTTTTTTGTCATGTGTTGGTCTAAATGGGCTTTGTGCTATGAATAGAAGTACTGGTATATTTTTCTTGGCATAGCTTGATGTGCTATTGTTTGCCCAATGATTTTTGTTATGTATTCCTCACAGTTAAAAGGTTTTAAATGTCTGAGGCCCAGATCCCCAGTGTCCCCAAGGACAGCTTCTGTTCCCACTTTGTCCAAACCTTGACATGCGGCTGTGGCGTGGCTCTGTGGTCTGCACAAGCCTCACTCACAGGATGGTGCAAAGCAATGTTGAAGCTGAATCTTTGCTCCGCCTGCGAGATCTTTGGTACATAAATTAACTTCTCTTAAACTCCACTTCCTTATCTTTCAGTGGATTTGATAAAAGCACATATTCTCAACTTCATTTTCAGGATCAGCAAAGTAACAGTTTCTGTAAGTTGTTCCCTAAATTGTGGTTGTTCATGAGTAGGCGACGTGAGGCTTACAAACATTTTTATTAAGTAAGATCTCAAATGTGTGTAAAAGTAGAGAGAAAAGTACAATGAGTCTCCGTGTACTGCTGTTCTAATGTCAATGAGTTTTGTTTTTAGTTTAATTCCTGGGTTGATGCTTGTAAATTGCCTGTAGAATGTGGCTTTATTGCTAGCAACTGTTTTAAAGATAGTCATTTTTATTGGTACATTTTAGTATATAAAATGATCATATTCATCATAGGGATTTGTACCTGTACATGATATAATTTGATGCTTTTTTTTCTATTCTTCTACGCTTCCTTCAACCCCTCTTTCTCTCCTTAACTCACAAAAGCTTCGTTTCCTCTTTTCCCATTTTTTTACTCCTCCCTTCCTCCCACCTTTCTCTTCCCTTGTCCTCCTTCCCATATGCATGCATTTTTTACCCTAATTTCACAATATATTTTTACACATTTTGGTTCTTATTTACACTTTTGGTTTCTCACACCAGAAAAACAATGCAGTGTTTACACATGTGTCTGATTTATTTCACTTAAAGAGTATGAAAAAAAAAAGAGTATGATCTCTAGGTGCATCCATTTACCTAGAAATGTCTCAAGCTTATCTTATTTCATGGCAGAGTAGTACTACCTTGTATTAAAAAAACCTGCATCTTTATCCAAACACTTTGGGCTGTTTCCAAGATTTGGTTATTACAAATTGTGCTGCTGTATGTTAACATGGATGTGCATATATGGCTGTGATATGAAGTTTTTAAATCTTCCAGGAGGATACTCAGATAGCTGGGTCAAATGACACCTCTAGTCCTAGTTTGTTGTGGAATCTCCATATTGATTTCCACCGTGGTTGCACCAGAGAAGGATTCCTATTTCCCCTCTGCCTCACCAGCATTCATTATTGATTGATTTCTTAATAGAAGCCATTCTTTCTGGGATGAGATGGAATCTTAGTGCTATTTTAACTTCATTTAACAAATGATCAACAATGTTGAACATTTTTCATATATTTATTTGCCGTTTCTATTTCTTCATCTTAGAAATGTCTATTCATTTCAAATGCCATTTTTAGATTGGCCTTTTAAATTTTGAGGGTCTTGATTTTTTGGAGTTCTTTATATATTCTGTATTATAATCCTTTGAGGAAAAGCTGGCAAAAATTTTTTCCCACTCTGTGGGTTTTCTCTTCACTCTTTTGGGGGTTTGTCTTACTGTGAAAAAGCCTTTTAGTAAGATACAATCCCAGTTGTTGATTATTTACAATAGTTCCTTTGTGATCAGGATTTTGTTCATAAAGTCTTTGCCTACACCATTGTCTTCAAGGATTCTTCCTCTTCTATCTTCTAGTGTATGTAGTGTTTCTGTTTTAATATTTAGATCTTTGGTCAATTTTGATTTTAGTTTAGTGTATGGTGAAAGATATGAGTCTAACTGTAATCTTTGGCATGTGAAAAGCCAATTTTTCTACCACCATTTATTAAATAGGCTGTCTTTGTGCCAGGGAATGTGTTTGGTACCTTTGTCATAGATAAGGTGGCTGAATATGTCTGGAGTTGTTTCTGTATCTTCTAATCTTCCACCCACCCTCATGTCTGTTTTTTTCTCTGCCAGTATCATGCTGGGTTTTTTGTTTTGTTTTTTAATCACAGTATCTTTGTAGTATAATTTCAAGGCAGTTATTATGATGCCCCCTGCCTTGCCTTTGTTGCCCAGGATTGCCTTTGCTACTCTTGGTGTCTTCTGGTTCCAAATAATTTTTAGGATTATTTTCTCTAATTCTGTAAGATATGCTGTTGCCATTTTGATCAGGGTTGCATTAAATCTGTATAACAATTTTGGAACTATGGTCACGTTTGCTACATTGGTTCTTCTTACCCAGAGCAAGAAATATCTCCATTTTCTGGTATCTTCTTCTACAGAAAGCACTTCTGGACCTCGTCTTGGTCCAAAAAGTCCACATTTGTAATCCCATGGAAAAGTGACTGGAATTCTAATAAGTTAATTCCAGTCTACCACTTCCAGTGCAGCACATGGCGAGAAAGAAACACTAAGGCATTTGTGTAGTTGTGGGAGCCAAGGAGTCCTAAGTCCGGGTAGAAGAATGAATAATTGGAACAAAGGCCTTGACTCAAGGCCAAACCTGGGCTTTATTAGTTCATGAAGAGGGGAGTGGCTCAGGGCTGCATGGCTGTGAGTGAGAATGGCAGTAAGTACCTGGGTGCTGTGATTTGAGCTCGGTTGAAGGCCTGAAGTCAGCTCTGCAACAGACACACACACACACACACACACACACACACACACACGCAGAAAGAGTAATCTGATCTGCTTGAGGCTGTATCTAGTGCTTTGGGGCCAGTGCTTCAGTGTTGAGGTGTAATCCAGGCCCTGGGAAGTCATAGCCTCTTTTTTCCAGGATCATTTTCAGCCCACAGTGTGGCCTCACTTGGCCCTGCTTACACATGCTACTTGGGAAATGTAGGTAGGGCATCACTGTCCTGTCACATTGCTTCAAAGACCACACATCAGCACCTCAGCTCGGACCATTTACATTTTTAAAAGCCAATTGAGGTGAGAAGGAAATGTCCCAGTCAGTTCTGTACCTATCAGAGTGAGAGTGGCAATAGTGGATATCCCTGTCTTGTTCCTAGATTTAGAGTGAAAGCTTTCAGTTTTTGTCCATTTAGTATAATGTTGGCTGAGGGTTTGTCATGGATGACTTTCAGTACCAGGGATTGAATTCACAACCTCATGCTTGCCAGACAGGTACTTGTATTCATAGACAACTTTTATCAGACTGAGATAAAGACCATCCATTCCAATTTTCTGTAAGATTTTTTTTTATCATGAATGGATGTTGGACTTTGTGAATTTTTTTTTTTTACATATGTTGAAGTTCATATGGATACTGTTTTTTTTTTTTACATATGTTGAAGTTCATATGGATACTGTTTCATATGGATACTCAGCTTTGCTAGTTTGGTGTATCGCATTTATTGATTTACATACATTGAACCATCCCTGCATTTTTGGGATGAATCCTACTTGGTCATGGTGTTTAATCTTCTTGATAATTTTCCATATTCTGTTTGCCAATATCTTATTGACAATTTTTACATCTATGTTCACTAGGGAGATTGGCCTATATGATAAGATTATATCCAAAAAATGAGAAGTATAAAACAAAAGAGGCCTTTATTCTGAGAACGCAGAGAGAGAAAAACTAAAACACTCCCCAACCACTGGAGTCTGGCTTTCTCTCTGGTGGACATGTGGTGATGGGGGTATTTAAATAGCCTCAGTTTGGGGTAGAACCTAAGGGGGCATTAGGGATGCACGGGTAGCCCATTGGTCTTTGTTTGGCACCATAGGTAAATTCCTAGGGGCGGGGAAGATGGAGTCACAGGTAAATTCCTAGGGGAGATAGGAGCTCCTTGGTTCCGCCTCTAAGGCTTCACTGGCTACAGTGTCCTGTCTGGGCCAAAATTCTTTCATATCCCATTTTATGATTATTATTATAAAAAGGGGTGAAGATTTCTCTCTTTAACTGCTTCCTGCTGGCAGAAGGTGCTGTACTGGGGTCTAGGGGAGTCCACAGGATGACAGTTGATGCCCAGGTAGATGCTGGTGCCAGATGTTTTAGCCAGGACAACTTCACTGGTGAATGCACATATGTTAGACTGGAAAAACAAAGAGACAAGATGTTATGAGGAGGCATGGCACTATCATATTTAAGGACCCAGGTGAGGTAGAAGGAAAGGTGCCTTTGATTTAGACGTCATTATATCAGGATGATGTTGAGGTAGGATCATTGTCATGCTGAGGTAGAATTCTGAAAAATAAGTGTGAGGTTAGGAGGAGTGAAGTTATGAGAGGTGATTACTCCCCCATCTGAAAGCATAAAAGTTAAGAGGGTAGGTGTATAAAACTTGTCTCCAGTCCAGGAGTTGAACTGGAAAAAATAGGGGGAGCAGGGAAGGTGGTGGCTGTACCAGTATTGGGAAGGTAAGGGCTTAGGCTTTCAGGGATGTCACATTTAACCAGATAGCTGAGGGTAGAAAGAACTGCAACAGTCATCACATAGAACATTATGAAGATTATCTTATGCATGATGTGGGAGTCTTTAGGATAGGGGTTTGGCACGACTGAGTGAGTTGAGGTAACAGCACTGTTGATTACCTTAAGGTCCTGTACCAGTGTAGGACCCATCAGGCTTGAGTACCAGGAGAATGGGAGTATTGTGGAGTGAATGGGTAGGTTTAAGAAAACCACTGTCCAAAAGGTACTTAATTATGGGTTTAAGTCCCCTTAAATATTGGGGAGCTATGGGGTATTGGGGAATGCAGGGAAAAATTGAGGGATCCCTGAGACAGATTAAAACAGGTGTGGCATGTGTAGCAAGAGTGGGATTGGATGTGTCCCAAACTATGGGGTCGACCAGAGAAGGAGGAAGGGGAGGGAATGGCTTTGTGATGCATTGTGAGGCTGTTTGGAGGATTAGGGCTGTGGGGAGAGAGAAAGTAAAGGAAAAATTAAGCTTTTGAAGAAAGTCTCTACCTAAAAGGGGTGTGGGACATGTTGGGATTACTAGGAAGCTATAGATAAAAAAAAAGAGTCTGGAATCGACATGGGACAGGCCCAGTTTGCAAAGGCTGGGTAGGCTGGCCGTCAATGCCCACAACAGAAATTAAGGACTTACTACAAGGTCCTGAAAATTCAGGAAGTACACTATAAGTCGCCCCCGTATCTACAAGCGGAGATACTATTTTATCTGAGACCTCCAGTGAAACTAAGGGCTCCGACAAAGTTACCAGAGTGGGGGCTGTGAGCCCCGAGCCCCGTCAATCTTCCGCAGCAAGTACGAGGAGATCAGTCAGTGACAAATCTGGCATTGACAGAGTCTCCTGTGAGGGCAAGGAGTTAGAGGATGGCTTACCCACTTGCTGGCGGCTAGGATAGTTGCTCTTCCAATGGCCCTTAATGTTGCAATAGGGACATGGCCCTAGAGCAATGCCAGGGTTGGGGCAATCTTTTGCCCAGTGTCCTTGTTTGCTGCATTTAAAGCACGGTCTGGGCGGGACTTGGGCAGCCACACCTTGTTTCGGATTTCTTGTCCTGGGGGCCCCAAGTGCCACTGCTAAGAGATCAGACTGATATTTAGCAAACTTTATTTTTTGAGCTTGTTTTTCCTCTTTTTTGAATTTTATCTCTGTTGTTGAAGACACGGAAAGCTAATTTAAGAAAATCCCCTTGAGGAGTTTGAGGGCCATGTTCAACTTTTTGTAATTTTGCACGAATATCAGGAGCAGAATGGGAAATAAAATAAGAGTTAATGACAATTATCACTTCATGAGAGTCTGGGTTTACATTAGTGAACTTAATTAAGGTTTCCTGAAGCTGATTCAGAAACACAGCTGGGTTTTCATTAGCCTCCTGGACCTGTTCTAAAAGTTTGTTATAGTTAGTATGTTTGTGAGCAATCTTATTAAGGCCCACAATCCAACACTCAATCATTTTATGTAGTTTTGTTGAACCCTGTCCATTTTGACAGTTTCAGTTAGGATCTTGTTCTGGCACAGCTGTAGGCCCAGGGTCATTATCAGCAGTGTTCACCTTATGTCTGCGATCAGCTTCTTCTCGAGCTGCCTGCCATGGCCAAGTTTGCTCTTGTGAGCTGAAAGTGGTATTTAGAATCACATAAACATCCTTAAAATTTAAATCATAACAATTAGTTATAAATTCAAATTGCCTGATATAATTCTGTGGGTCAACAGAGAAGCTACCTAATTTATGGGTAATCTGAGATAAGTCAGAAAGGGAGAAAGGCACACATATATTAACAAGTCCCTCAGGGCCAGCTTGTTCCCATAGTGGTAGCAGAGATTGAGGAGAAGATTGCGGAGTAGATGGCCATTGGGCAGCCATCTGTCCAGTAGGCATGTGTGAGCAATTATCTGTAGAGCAGCTACAAAGTGGCTGCAGTTAACATGGGACGAGGAAATACAGGCAGTTGGCGCCTCACTGTGTGCCTTGCAGCAATGAAATTGCTGTCCGCAGCACAGTGAACCGTCATGTGGTCTGCAACAGGGTGGCTGATGCTGATCAAAGAGGAGCCACAAGGGGGTGGCCATTGACCATGAGAGCTGTCCCAAGATGGCGGTGCTCTTTCACGTGGTGGAAGGCCACAACATGGCATCGGTCCCCTGCGCAAGCTGCAATAGTCACGCGGCCTGCCAGAAGGACATAGCGACTGAGACCTAGTATGGTGGCCAGGGGATGAGAATGCCATAGGGGACAGAGAATTTTCAGGAGAGTAAGAGGTCAGAGATTGTGAGGAAGTGCTAACAGAAGGATTAGAGCCGCTGGGAGAGTTATGGGTCCCGGGAGAAGGAGGGGAAGACGGTCACACAGTGGGAGATAACAGCGAGGACGATTTTGGGGGTAGGCACACGGCAGCCGATAAAAAACTGGGGGTACTTCGTCTAGTGGATCATGAGGGCAGGAGGGGAGAGTTTGCAGTGCAGCAGAGTTAGCTAAAAGTACCTGGGTGGGGGTACAAGATTTAATGAGTGATGGGCGCGTCCTCAGAGCAAGGAAAGCCTGTATGTAAGGGATCTCTGTTAACTTGTCGCCAGTTTGGCAGAAATCATACAGATTTTTGAGAATACAGGGGTCAAACGTCCCCACTTTGGGCCATGAGCTGCCGGTAAGTGGGTAGGTCAGCCAAAACTCCTGGCAGTAAAAGATTAATTGTTTAGTTTTTATTGTGCATTTAATTTTAAGAGTACGTAGATTGGAAAGTAAGCATTGCAGAGGCGTCTTTTGGGAATTAGAAAAAGCATTTCTCATGACTAATTCAGGCAAGAAGTGAGCCGTGGTCCAGAGGTTGAGCCGTCACTTGTCCCGTGGCACCAAATGGTGGTTAAGTTTTCAAAAACTCATATTTCTCAGTCGTCACCGAGAGATGTACAAGTGGCTTCCATGTGGGTTCAGTAACAGTTCTGCCCATGAGAGCATGAAGCTCTGAGGGATGTGAGAGACTTTCAGTGTGGGCTGGCCCAGGAAAACTCTGCCTTGGGCTATCCGAACCCAAAGGACATGAGAGTTTTTGCGTGCGGACACAGGTTGCCCAGAAAGACCCTGCCCTGGGCTGTTTTAAGGATGTGAGAGTGTCATGAACCCATGGAAAGGGGGGAGAAAACCCACCTGGGGCCGAGCCCAGTGCAGAAGAATTCTCTGGAGTTTGCTCACCTGAGATTAATCGGGCTGGTGTTGTGTGCAAGCGATTGGCAACAAATTAAGCAGGTCCTGGGAGATGAAAAGTGGAGAATTAATCCAGGATGTAATCCAGTTCGTGAATCGGCTGGGGACTCGAACTGGGTGTGTCCCAGGAGTCAGTCACCTGCCAATTGAGTCACAGCACCAAATGATAAGATTATATCCAAAAGATGAGAAGTATAAAACAAAAGAGGCCTTTATTCTGAGAATGCGGAGAGAGAAAAACCAAAACACCCCCCAACCACTGGAGTCCAGCTTTCTCTCTGGTGGACACGTGGTGGTGGTGGTGGGTGTTTAAGTAGCCTCGGTTTGGGGTAGAACCTAAGGGGGCATTAGGGATGCATGGGTAGCCCATTGGTCTTTGTTTGGCGCCATAGGTAAATTCCTAGGGGTGGGGAAGATGGAGTCACAGGTAAATTCCTAGGGATGGGGGAGATAGGAGCTCCTTGGTTCCACCTCAAAGGCTTCACTGGCTACAGTGTCCTGTCTGGGCCAAAACTCTTTCATTATATAGTTCTCTTTCTTAGTTTGGTCCTTCTCTGGTTTTGGTATCAGGATAATGCTTGCTTCAAGAAATGAATTTGGGAGAACTGTTTCCCTTTCAGTTTCATTAAAGAATTTGAGAAATAGTGGTGTTAGGTCATCTCTAAATTTCTTGTAGAATTCAGCAGTGACTCCATCAGGGCCTGGGCTATTATTTGTTGGTAGATTTTTTTAAAATTACATTTTCAAATTTATTAAGTGATATTGGATTACTTAGAATTTTTATATCTTCTTGATTCAGCTTTGGTAGTTCATATGTATCTAGGAATCTGTTTGTTTCTTCTGCATTTTCCATATTATTAGCATAAAAGTTCTTGAAGTAGATACAGGTCATCTTTTAGATTCCTGCAAGATCTGTTATAATTTCACCCCTTTCATTCCAATTGCGTGGATCTGAATTTTTCTTTCCTTTTTTTGTAAGGTTGGCTGAGAGTTTGTTTTTATTTAATATTTCAAAGAACTAGCTCTTCAACTCATTGATTCTTTGTATTGTTTTATTAGTCTCCATTGCATTAATTTCTGCTTTAATCCATAATTTCCTCCCTTGTACAAGCTTTGGACTTGATTTGCTCTTATTTTTCTAGAAGACTGAATTTCAATATTAAGTTTTTTATTTGAACTCACTCTGTTTTCCTGATATATCTATTTACTTCTATAAACTTCTCTCATAGGACAATTTTCATTGTTGTCCCATAAGTTGTGGTATGTTGTATTGGTAATATCATTTAATTATAGAAACTATTGAATTTCTTCTTTAATTTGGTCTGTGACCCATTGGTTGTTATTAAATTTCTATGTTTATGAAGTTCTTGTGGTTTGTTTTGCCATTGATTTCCAATAATATGCATGGAATAATTTCAGTTCCTTTGCATTTACTTAAGCATGTTCTATGAGCTAGTATGTGATCTATTTTGTACAATGTCCTGTATGCAGTTGAGAAGAATATGTATTCTGATGTTATAGGATGGAACACTCTGTAAACATCTACTAATTCCATTTGTTCAAAAGTTTTGTTTCAGTTTTAATATTTCACTATTGATTTTTTTGTCCAGTTGATCTATTTGTGACAGTGATCCCCTAATACAATCATATAAGTGCTTATTTGATTTTTCATGTCCATTAATATTTGTTTTATATAGTTGGGCACACTGGTATTTGTTGCACATATATTTATGATTGCTATATCTTCCGCTTGGATTGTTTCATTTATAAGGAGCTAGTAATCTTCTTTCTCTTTTAATCTCAACTTGAAATCCAGTTTGTCTGCAAATAGAATAGCTACCTGTCTTAGTTACTCTTTACTCACCACTGAGACAAAATACCTGATGCCCAAAGTTAGGGAAGTAAAGGTTTATTTCTTACAATTCTTGGAGGTTTCAGTCTATACTCAGCTGGCTCCAAGGCAGGGTGCATGGTAGGGCCACTGTTCATGGCTGCTACAAACAGCAAAAGTGCAAACTGGCAAAAGATAGAGACACCTTCTTCCTGCCCTACTGGCTCTACCCCTAGGCGGGTGTAGCACTCACACCAGCAATCCAAGTGCTAGACAATGAACCAATCACAAATGCTAGATTTGGTCAAGTCCATAACTGCATGAGGCTTGGGGCCAGTAATATAAACCAGGATATTCCACCAAGCCCCTAAAGACTCATGCACATCCTTTATACAAAAGCACGTAGTCCATCTCCAAGAGTCGCCAAAGTCCTAACAGGGTCAACATTGTTGAAAAGTTCAAGTCCCAAGTCTCCACCTTCTATGGCAAACTCTTAACTATAACATCCTGTACAAGTGAAACAAGGTTAAACATTTCCAAAATGCAAAGGCACTAGATAAACATTACCACTCCAAAAATTACAAATGGGGGAATACAAAGCATTGGAAACAAAGCAAGTCCAACATCTAGCAGGGTGAGCATTAAGTCTTAGAGTTCCATGCTCAGCGTTTGAAGCAATCTGGTTGCAAGCTCCAAAAAGCTTGGGTGATTCCAACCTACAGCACGTCCAGGGGTTTCAGCCCCTGCAGATTCTCTCTTAAGACCCTTCTTCTCGGTTTTTGCAGCTTTCCTTCGATGACCCACCTTCCTGGATTTTTCAAACTTCATGGTCTCCACTGCACCTTTGGCTTCGCCCTTACATCTTTACATATCACCTCTCAGGGGCACCCTGCTTGGCCTCCCAGGCCTTTTATACCCAGGGTGGAAGCTGTCTTACCCTCAGAATTTGTGCATTTGCCTTGCACCTAAAATCAGTGCCATGTGGATGCTGCCAGGGTTTGCTGCCAGCTGGAGCAGTAGCCAGGCTTTTCTCTCTATGCCACCGCCATTCTGAAATGTGGTGTGCTGGCTGCCATTTTGGGACCTCCTGTGGCCTTGTCACCACTCTGGAACTTGGCGCTCTGCTGCTGTTTCTCCTCAAAGCAAATTCTTTCACTTTTGCTGGTTCAAGGTTTCATAAGGTGAAGATCCACTGCTTCCTGGGATGGCAGGTACTCCTTACTTTTAGGTACTCCTTACTTGTCATTGAGACAAAATACCTGGTGCTCAAAGTTAGGGAAGGAGAGGTGTATTTCTTACAATGCTTGGAGGTTTCAGTCCATACTCAAGTGGCTCCAAGGCAGGGTGCATGGCAGGACCACTGTTCATGGCTGCTACAAACAGCAAAAGCATGAACTGGCAAGAGAGGCAGACACACCTTCTTCCCACCTTACCACGTATGCTGGCAACACCCCTAGGCGGGTGTAGCACTCACACCACCAATCCAAGTGCTAGACAATGAACCAATCACAAATGCTAGATTTGGTCAAATCCATAATTGCATGAGTCTTGGGGGCCACATGACACTACCCCTGCTTTTTTCAGGTTCCTATCACATGGAATATTGTTTCCATCTTTGACTTTCAGTCTATGAATGTCTTTTGGGATTAAATGTGCTTCCAGTATGTAGCATATGGTTGGATTTGCTTCTTGATCCATTCTTGAAGTCTGTTTTTTTTGATTGGTGAATTAAGGCAATTAATGTTGGTGGTTATAGCTGCTATGTCTTGATTTATCCTTGTCATGTTATTTTCGTGTTGCTGGCTCCATTTCTCTCCCCTCTGTTTACTTGTTTGCCCTTCCTCACAGGATATCCGAACCCACACTACTCACCAGCCACTGCAGTCCTCCACATCTTCCCTTCTGTTCCACTGGGCATCTCTCTGTGGAGGCCTTTGGAGTGGCCACAGTCACTGTGTGTCTGCAGGTTTGAGCTGCTCCTTCCATGCAGTAAGTTCAGGCTCAGGGAAAAGGTACCACCTGCTACCTCCTTCTTTTTTTTTCTTTTTCTCTTTTTATTGGTACCGGGGATCAAACTCACGACTGCCTGCTTGCAAGGCAGGTGCTTATACCGCTGAGCTAAATCCTCAGCCCCTGCTACCTCCTTCTTCTTCATTGAAGTTTTTCTCTTTGCTTTCCCTGTAGGCATCACTTCTCGGTGCAGATCCTTCCTGGGACCAGGGGACCCACTTCCCACCTTCTTCTCTTCCTCATATTGCAACATTCCAGGGTCTGGACACCAAGTCTTGGAGTGGCTGTTTCTCTGCTCCTCACCACTCTGCCATCTTCCCGGAACTACTATTGCTAGTATTTAGAACCCATATGAAATGACTACTTCTCAGAATTGTCTCCCAGGGGCAGCTGACTTTTGGGTTTTGAGTCTGTTGCAAGATCCTATCTCTTCAATTTATTGGAGATGAAAAGTTGCTGTCTGTTTGGCCCAGACTGTACTTCTCTGGCACTGGGTTGTAATATTTTTTATGACCCTTTGGCAATTTCAGTCTTGGCATTCTAGGAAGAACAACTGATTAGAAAAATTATGACAATTACTTTAACTGGCTAAAGTAGTATGATTAGCAATAACAATAGCATTGAACACAGCCTAGAAAACAACAAACTGTGGTAACTGTTAATTTGCCAACTTTCACTGTATGAACTAGATTTTTGCTTATATAACAAAATCCCAAACAAACCAGAAAATTGTACATAGCAAACAAACCCTCCATGTGGGAATTTTATCCTCAAGGTAGAAAATTTAAAAGGAGGGAGGGGAAATAGAGAATTAGAAGAAGAGGAAGAGACTAGAAGCAGGCTGGAGGGCAAGCTTTGGGAGACTGGTGAAGCAGACACCGGGAAAGAGAAGAGGAAGAAATAAAAACAACAACAGAACACTGATGACAGAAAAACTAGAAAAAGTGTTTACACTCATAAAATAAGAAGAAACAGTCAAGGAACTGCAAAACAAAACCAAAACAAGAAAAAGAAAGATTAAAAGAATAAGATATAAAAGTCTGCTTCAAGACGTGTCTCTGTGTCACTGGTAGGCAAAGTGTGCGGAGAGAGTGCAGATCTGGGTTGACTAACCCCAGCAAGCCAGCTATAGATTTACACAGGGCGGGTGAGAATCCCAGCAAGCTTGTGCTTTAGTTCCACTGAGGTTCAGGCTGGTTTCTGGCTGTGAGGCTGGACCCCATTTGTTTAGCCTGCACCATCTGCGTGCCTTCTTCCGCCTTAAACTCAAACTCCTTAACCTCCTGCTGACTTGAACT